TGGATGGATGTTGAAATCAAAATCGAATAGTTTTGAATGCCACTTGTTTAATATTGGGTCCTCCAACTAATCGCCTAATAAATTTTATTTATAAATTAATGTGATTTACAGTAATAAAATTTATAAAATGTAAAATAAGACTCAATAAATTAATATGATTGGTGTCTTTAATTTGTGAGGAAAATTTATAAATTATGGGACAAATTATGTTCCTATAATTTATCTCATGCCCATATGATCATTATAGTTCTAAATGTATTGATTTTATTCTCTAACATTTCAAATTGTGTATATTTAATCCAATTGACGATACTCTTTGGTGAGTTTGTTGCATGGGATTGAGACATAGAATTAGATTTATATATGATTTATTAGTGAATGTCGAATTAATAATCAAATGAATAATGTTTGAGAGTCACAATTTGTGTGGCTCAAATGGCTCAAAACTGTCAAAACGACGTCGTTTTGACATGTTTTGTGCTCAAAACGACGTCGTTTTAACAGTTTTGAGCCATTTGAGCCACAAAAATTGTGGCCCTCTACCATTGCCCTAATCAAATACATATCATTTTTAATCTAATAATTCAGAGACTATTTATATTAAGATTAACCGTGCATTACATAGAAATTGAACTAAAAATATTATTCCATCCTTTAAAAGTGATTTAGGATTTGATGTTTGATGTTTGATTTGAAACCTTATATTCCATTTTGAATCATTTATTAAATTAACATAATATAAAAATTAAAAATCAAAAACCAAAATTGTTATAATTGAATTATAGAGGCCAATTTATTATGAGTGACAATATATAAAGATTTTTTTTATATATACATTAATCTTCTCACAATCATAAAAGAACGTAATCACAAGACATTGATGAAATTGTGATTAATTTATAATATCATAATTTAAATTGATGAAATTGAATCTTATAACTTAATTTATTATTGGCATGAAACACTAATTTCGTGTTTGGATATTGGGTAGAGATTTATAGAGAGAAAAGAAAAAGTGTGTGAAATTTAATTATATTTTATTAATATTTTATTCATTTTTTTCTTTTTTCTTTTTTCTTTTTAAATTTCTAACCAAATTTATAAATCAGGATATTATTATTATTATTATTTACAATTTTTCAAAAAAAATCTTAATTAATTTAGTGGTAGCAAAGCAATTTTGTTGATGCCGAACGGTGCCGTGAGGCTGACGGCAGGGCCACCAACAACACCAAATGCGAAACAGCGGAATGAATAAAGCATCCCACGAAAAATTATTTGGTGCTCCGGAAGTGCCACTCCACCAATCATCATATATCGTGTTTTTTTTTTATTATTTTTCAATTACTTAATATAAAATCATAAATCTTAATTTCTTAACCAATCAAAATATTTTTGAAACACCACTTGCTGTGCCTTAGAATCACCAAATAACTTCTCATCCCCCACCCCTTGTGGTCCCACAGCCTTTGAACCAATTGTCATCTTCTGTCATGGGCCCACAACATGTGGGGTCCACTACTAGGAGTATACAGTGCCATTGATTAGTCGGCGGCGGACCACCAAGTCAACGTTTTTTAAAAAATGAAGAATAATTATTCAAGTGTTTCTAAAAATAAAAAATCAAACAAACAAACACAAATATAAGTGTGATTTTACTAAAATTTTATTTTAAATATATTTATGTTCATATTTATTTTGACAATAAATGAGGAGTGACTAGATGTGATTTTGAGAGATGGTGATAAAAAATATCATCAAAAACATGAGGCGATCATGTGGTCATCAAAAGTAATATTTACTAACCATGACAAAAAATGAGAATAACCCACTCTAGTAATAAAATAATGGGTGGAAGTTAGAAAGAGAGTAACAACACGAGAAAAAATATTGAAAATTTGTCTTTAAATAAATTAAACTAACTCTTTCTTATTACAAAGTAAATTTTATTTATTATTTATAACATTTAAAAAAAGGCACGACACAATTTTTTATTTATGTTTTTTTTTAAAATTTATAAATATAAATAAAAAATTATAAATATAAATATTACTAAACACTTATAAGGTGTTTATTTATTAGTTTAGACAATAAAATTTAATATTTTTATGTTGATATTTTAAAAAATAGTATTAAAAATGCTAATTCATAAAGATTATTAAAAAATAGTACTTAATAATTTTTCTGTTGTGTGTGGTCTATACTCCTGTAGGTCCACGTTTTGGAATATCATTGGATGTCTCGTGGCGTGTCCATCGAACTGGTCCCCACTTTGTGGTCCAAGCGACGAGGGAATTACGCGTGTCCTTCTGTCCTTTTCTCCGCGAGTGGCGGAGAGAGAAGCGACGTAATTCTGGACCCCACTCTCCTCTTCGAGATTATTATATGGTAAAAACGGACTATCGTATAATTGTGTGATCATCCAATAGCAAATTTGCAAATGATATAGAAGGTACGGTTTGTTAATTTTTAAATTAACATTTTGATTAAAAAAATCAAAAAACATATTTGATTTATCAATTTTAAAAATTATTTTTTTCTCTCTGCTCTCTTCTTCTCTTTTTTTATTAATAAATCAATTAATCATTTTTTCTCTCTCCTTTCTTTTCTCTCATTCTCTCACATTTTACATATCAATCAATCAAATTTTCCCACACCCATTTATTTAACTACACAAAAAAAAAAAATACACAAATCATTACAAAATTATTTTCAAAACTCATAACCAAATAAATTTTTAATTTTCAATAACTTATCTTTCAAAATATAACTCAAAACTCAGAACTCTTTTAAAAAATTAAACCAAATGGAGCCATAATTAGGGTTAATTACATTAATGGTCCTCTTATTTTTCTCAAAGTTTTAATTTGGCCCTTATACTTTGAATTTTGTCAATTTGGTTCTTGAACTTTCTTATTTGTTCCAATTTGATCCTTACAACTTTTTTAAGGTTTTGTTTATTATACTCTTGCCCCTTATGTTTTATCATATTATATTTATTTATTTTTTCAAATTCTGTAATTACAAGTACTTGTTTATAATTTTAACAATAGTTTTGTTTATTGTTATATTCTTAAATTGTTTGATTTTAGACCCACTATATATGCTTCTAAATGCGGACTAATTTATTAATAAATCTTGTAAAATTCCTTTTTGGAATTCTACACTTGTCTTTTCTAAGGCTCTTTGGTTATGTTTGATTCCACAAGATTAATAGTGAGGTATTAATAATCCTATCAAATTAGTATGGTATTTACAATCTCACCCCTACTCCATTACTAATAATCCTACAAATTTATTGGATTAATTATCCATTGGATTAATAATCCTAAAACAAAATGTCAAAACAAACATGGGATAATTGGGCCTACGGATTAATAATCTCAATCCCATGTTCTAATCCTTCCAATCAAACATGCCCTTTACACCTTAATGCCAGCAATTTTCTAGTTATAAGTCACTATGGATTGTCCAGACGCAATGAAAATTTAATCTATTTAATTGATTTTTGTAATTCAAAAATATAGACTAAACTATTATTTATTTTTGCAATTAAAAGCATACGAAGGATTAAAACAAATTTAACCTAACATTTTAAGGATTGATACATTAACTACTAAATAGACAGGGCTTTCGGTAATTAATCAAATTTTTGGGATTGTGAGCTACTTATATTTTAGGTTTAGGGACTAATTGATTTGAAATTGAAACTTGAGAGGTTTAATTGACATAGTTAAAACTACAACAACTAAAATGAAACTAATATAAAATTTAAAAGACTATGACTATAATTCATTCATATAATTATCTTGTTTAGAGAAAATAGAACAAGGTGAATTCTTTAATCACCAAAAATTATCATATAGATTCGCTACATCATGTAACAATATGCTCATTTAATAATATTTAATAATTTGTATAATATACAATTTTTTATTATATTTGGTTCTTGAACTTTCTTATTTGTTCCAATTTGATCCTTACAACTTTTTTAAGGTTTTGTTTATTATACTCTTGCCCCTTATGTTTTATCATATTATATTTATTTATTTTTTCAAATTCTGTAATTACAAGTACTTGTTTATAATTTTAACAATAGTTTTGTTTATTGTTATATTCTTAAATTGTTTGATTTTAGACCCACTATATATGCTTCTAAATGCGGACTATATTGTATTGATAAGAAAGTGTGTATTACTAAAATCGAATCCCTTCATACATTCTTTAATACGTAAAATTATCTCAACTTGAAAAAAGTTTTCTAATAAGTTTAGCAACTTAACTTATTTTAAAAATTTTAAATTTTTTTATGAAGTAAAAAATAAGTGTTTAAAATAATTTTTTTTAGTTAAAATAGATAGCTATGAGAAAAAATAACTAATTGATATATATAGAGAGATAATTATTGAAAAATCCAAGCTAAGGAAGGTATAATACATTAGGTCATGTGGATTTTTTTTTTTTTTTTTTTGGTTAGTGAGAGGTCCACCTTTTGTGAAATAATTTGGTGAGAAATCCATTTGTTTGTTTTGAAAGACATTTTGTTTCAATTTTACTCCTTAATTTATCTATTGATTTTTTTAAACTGTTGACTTTTGTTGACTATCTGTTCAAAAAATTTTCCTATCTATTTAAAAAATTTCTCTGTAAGTTTAAATTTTTTTCCTATCTATTCAATTTTTTACCCTATCTGTTTGATTTTTTAATCTTTTCAATTTAAATTTTCCTTATCTATTTAAATATTTGTCCAAATAAAATTCTATCTATACAAATTTATTATCTGTTCAAATATCTGATCAAATATGACTATCTGTTGCAATTTGTTTCTTCATCATCACAACAACAACAACAATAACAAAATAAAAAAGAGATTAGAGTTTGGTTAAGGTTTATCAATAACAGTTGAATCTGAAACACGGATGAATTAGAATACTCATCATATCTCTCAATAGAAAATGAAAAAAAAAAAAGATTGAAACAAAAGGATTAGAAAAACAAAGAATCATTAGACTTAAATACAAAGAATCATGAAATGTAATCTATCGTATTGTTGCAATTTTTCTCATCATATAAAATTCTATTCAATTTAATCCAAACAAATTAAAACAATCCTAAAATGAAAACACAAACACGCACACAGAGAGAGAGGGAGATAGAGAATTTGCAGAGAAATCCTAGATCATTGAAGAGACAAAGTGACTTCAGCTTGTAGAGGACATAGTCGAAAACTCCCTATCTGTTGAAATTTTTGAAGATCGTAGATCTAATGAAACAAATATAATGGATCAAGATTTGAGCTATAAAACACAAAAAATAAAAAGAAGAGAGAGAGGAATGAAAAATGAGGATCTTGTCAATGCAGGCCGCCATTGGAGTGTTGTTGATCACAGTAATATTGACGACAGGGCTGCTGAGCCATTGAAAACTATGACCAAGCACCACGGTAGAGACATCCTCAAGAATTTCCATAGATTGTCGACAATCTAGCAAAGGTCATCTGTCGCTATACTCTGTGCTCTAATTTGCATTATTGGCCTCGTCGCATTTACTCGTTGCCTAGATCTGTCGATTCTCCTCCAACAGTGCAGCTGCGAAACTCTAACCTTAACCCTAGAGAGAGAGAGAGAGAGAAAAGAAAAAAAAAAAAAAGATGAGCAATGTCATTTATGGCGGCAAAAACTGCCGATGAATCGGTGGCGACAGCGGTTGTACCGACGGTGAGAATGGAAACGGTAAATCGCGAAAAGACGAAATAGCGGTAGAGTCAAAGTATGTGTGTGTATAAGAGCGAGAGAGGAGCTGCAGAGAGTTTGGTTAGGGTTTAGTTTGGAAACAATATATATACATGGATAATTTGGTCATTTTACAAGAGTTTGTCCTTATGGCCAAAATATTTTAGAGTGTGAGTCTTTGACTAGAGAAAATTTAAAATTGAATTTTGAACCAAATGTCCATATATATAATGTGACATTTTAATTTTTTAATCAAAGAATTAATACATAAATAACACGTTCATAGATGATATAACCAATTAATAATAAATTACTACTTACTTATCATATGTAAATCTCAATCCTATTATGATGACATTAACAATGACAGGGTTGAGTGATTAAATTAAAATCAGCAATGTTAGGTATCATAAAAAATCTTTCATGAAAATAATCATGAAAGTTTTGTGACTCTTAAATTATATTTAGAATAAAACACTACATACTAATCAAGATAATCTAAAAATTATAAATTTTTAATGATCATTTTCATATAATTTTTTTCATGATCCCTAACTTTTCTCAATTAAAATTAGTTGGTGATACCATGCGCTCGCATGATATGGTGATATCACCGTTACGATCAAGTTTTACTCCTACTTGGTGTGCACACACAGCAGCATGGTCAATTTGATCCACCAGATAACGTCTCAACATAACCAGAAGTGTATCCACGCGCTGTTATTTGTTTTACAAACCAACTAAACGACTGTTCGGCCACGTCAACGATTCTCCACCGTGCGATCAGATTAATCTCCCTGGCACCTAACGACCCCAACTACAAAGGTCCACGCCCAAACGCGACTCACTATTTACCTCTCAACAAGCGGTTTGCCGAGCTGTTTTTCTCCCTGAAAACCGCTTTTCCCTCCATAATATATGCTTCTTTAGCTTCGCGAGAAAGTCATATCATTCCTCATCTCTCTCTAAAACCCACAACTCAATTTCGATCTTCTTCTCTACTGGTTCATTTTTGTAGTAACAAATCATAGCTATCATCTCATGTTTCTCTCTCTACCTATATATATATATACGTATACGTTTCTCTCTCTATATTCGTCTCTTCCAAGTCCATCTCTCTCGACTGTTAAGGCTAGCATGGAGTAACTCTCTCTATAATACTTTGCGAGTGCAAGACTGGATTATGTTATATAGCTTTATCGATCTTCATCTAGATATTTTGAATTACTTTCTCTCTAAACTGAATTGCTTATTATCTATATAGTTCTGTGTTTGTATGTACTGATTATGCTTGTAATGAGATGAAAGTATTGTTATGAAAGTATTTTTTCTCGATGGCGTATCCGAACCATCTATCACAAGAAATGGCGCTACATCATTTCTCAGACCAGCACTTGGGAGAGAACACTTCGGTTTTGCGAACTATATTGCCGGAACAGCTAGGTCAATCTTCGCCGGACGGTTCAGGAAAGGAGCATAAGGACTTACAGAGATTTATAATGGAGTCCGCCGGGAAGACGGCGGAGCACCACCACCAACCACCGCCGCAAGTCGGCGTTGGACCGACGTGGCTCAATAGCGCGATTCTGAGGCAGCAGAACCAGTACGGGGAAGCGAATTTCCTCAATCTACACACGAACTCCGATTCGGCTGCGTCGAATCAGTGGCTCTCGAGATCGATTCTTCAGCGGAACGTTAGCGATGTTAGGGACGACAACGATTCGATGATCGCCGCGGCGATATCGCACGAATCGGCTGATTTGAACAACAATCAGAATGATAATAGGAATATTGGGAGCAATCAGGTGGAGAACAACGGCGGAGGAGGAGGTGGTGGTGGTGGAGAGTTGACGGAGAGCGATGTCGGCGGCAGCGATGGAGTTATGAATTGGCAGAATGCAAAGCACAAATCTGAAATTCTCTCTCATCCGCTTTACGAGCAGTTGTTATCGGCTCATGTCGCGTGCTTGCGAATCGCGACGCCGGTCGATCAGTTGCCGAGGATCGACGCTCAGCTCGCTCAGTCGCAGCACGTGGTGGCCAAATATTCGGCTCTCGGTCATGGTAATATTGGTGATGATAAGGAGCTTGATCAGTTCATGGTGAGCTTTTAGTACTCTGTTTCTGATTTATCTTCATCATTATTTTCTCTGATTGTTTGATTCATTTTTTGTTTGTATTGTTCTTCATATGTGTGGACTGTAGTTATTAGTTGGGTGGTATGGTTATGCGATTTATGAAACTGAAGATGAATTTATTCTGGGTATGCTCATCTGGTTGATGAATTAAAAGTTTTCCTATTTGTCTCTTGGCCGTCACAAATCAGACCAAACCAATTCACTAGGGGAAATTTTTTTCCCTGATAATATTTTGAACTTTTTTTTGGTTCTATTTTGATCATATATTCTTGGAAATTATATCTTTATTTCCCCCCATGTTTTTTTAAGAATCGGTAAGAGGGGATAGGGAAGGGAAAGTTGCATAATGCTACAATAAACTTGAATTCATGCATCACGCCGGGAAAGGGAAATTGTTAGTGATGTTGGGTTTTTTTTAGTAACCTATTTTGTGCAAACGGATCTGCATTGTAACACGAAGACTGGCTGGAGCAAAGACATTAAAGACTCTTGTCTTTATTTCAAAAATTGTTTGACTGTGAGCTAATTTAGGTAACAACGAATTTCATACAAATTTTAAAGCTCCTTTGTCAGTAGGGTTTGAGCTAATGAAGAAGTATCAAACACCTGGTTGTGCTATGAGGATGTAACTTGTTAGTTTGGGTGACTCCTTACTAGGAACTAAATTCTTTCTATGATTGTTGATATAACTCTCCGTTTATTTTGTCCAAAAACATTTTTCACCTAGAAAAAGTTTTCCATAGAACTCTTTTTTGATGTTTTTCTGTGTGGTTGCAACCTTGAATTGAAACTAATGTTCCAGTGGTGGTGTTAGCGGTGGTGATGGGGTGGTGGTGAGACGGTGGGTGGTGATGGTGATTGTGGTAATGTGGTGGCATCAAGCCTGGAAAATATTTTCTACCTTTCCAACCCAACAGGCTTGTTTTCCGTGGACTTTAATTTTCAGTCGTACCAAACACCAAAAAGTGTGGGATGTGCTTTATGCCCAATATAGCTTCTTACGATTAGTGTTAATCATGCAGAAATTTGAACTGCATTTTGGAGCAAAAATTTGATAAATTTGGATGATGTAAGTGGTGGAAAATTTTAACAAGGACCTATTAAGGAGGAAAAAAATGCAACTGTATCCAGAACAGTGTTATTAAAGGCGTGCTCAGGCCCAGTGCTCATCAAGGCACTGAGGCACAATCAGTGCCTTGAATTACTTATGTTGAACCTTGAATTATTTGCTTATATTAAATTATCTATTTTTTATCTCGATGAGCCTCGCTTTGATGAAGCTTGCGCCTAGGCCCTAGGAAACCTTGGTGCTTCAGTGTGCCTATCGCCTTTAATAACACTGATCTAAAATGAAGTTAGTCAACTGATTCCATGAGCAAAGACTAAAAAATGTTCCACTGATGATGAAGATTTCCCTAACAAGAGGTATTCTGAAAGCTGAGAGTGTGTAAGCCTTACTCTTGAGTACCTTATCTACAGTTAGAATTACTACCAACCCTTTATTCTTCTTCTTTGAGAAAGTAATTGACAAGAATAATAAATCCCTATCCTCTGATCGAGAAAGCTTCAGGCTTGTTTTCTTAAGATAGTAATAGAATTGCTGCATTGACTGTCACTTGAGGATACTTTGAACTCATACTCGATTGGAATTATTTAGCTAGTCAACATGGGAAGTATGCAATTAATTTTATTCTTTATCTGTCTCTGTGAAGCATGTTTAAATGAAGTTTCCAGAAAATAATGCATTTGAAAAAACTGAAAGATATGGAAAGCGAAAATGATGTGATTGAAAATGAAGAACCTTTTGAATGAAATTGGAATCCAATATGGCTTTTAAGGTTTCTCATTTTGAGTTATTTCACTCACTGTATTTGGTGGGAGACACTGAGCATATTTTGAGACACTGATAATGCCAGAACTAGTTTTTGCATAGATTGCCTTATAGTTGTACAAGGACAAAAGCTATAAAGAATTTTTCATTCATTTTTTTATTTTTATTCATCTAGTTCTTAAGGAATATAACCAGACAGATTTTTGTTTTTCCACCACATGATATGTGTGGCTAATGCATGGCTGCAATGCCTTTTTAAGGGACCTGAGTCTTTCGTGTCATCTAGTTTTCTCTGTCTCCATGCAGTCCATGTTCCTAATTTTGATGCTACAGCCACATGAAAATAATGTCTATGAGACAACTCTGTCTAATCTTCATTCTTCATAATATAAATCCATATAAGCGGTTGCTGAAACTATTATAGTTTCAATTTAATTGTATGAACACTACCATAATCTTTCAATTTGTGAATTGTTGTTTTGCAAGCTAAATAAAATGAAGTGCATGGAATGGAAACAGATGATTCCTCTTCCTTTCAATAGCGATTAGTGAATATGAATTTTCATAAATTATGCATTACGTTGAGAGTGCATACTCAAATTTGGTCCAGAGGAATTTATACATCCATCCCTCTCAAAATATTTCCATTGTTCTGGTGTTGTATATAATTAATTTGCCTACATGATCAAAAAATGGAATGCTATTTGGAAGGGAATATTAAGATATCCAATATTCCCCTAAGTTAAATTTTTGTTGGGATGTTTTAAATTTTCAGAAGGGCTATTTGGGAACTTCAGTTGACATGGTGGAATTATGAATCCTTTTCATAACAAATTTGCAAAGTTTTTTTTGTCAATATACATCAAACCTTCTGCTTTCCTTTTTCTTTTGTTATAGAAAACAAAGCAAGTGGCAGCCTTCTTGGTGCTTCACATGATTACTTACCGATGCCCTGATGAACTTTGCTTCTTACTGTGGAGATGTTTCCACATTTGTCATAATAACATTTGTGTGGATTATACAACCTAAATTATTACAAGAATAAGACTATAAGATTGTGTTATACTCTGAGCAATTCCTCCATGAAAAATGTTGTGTTATATAACTTTGAGATATATTTTGATAGATAAACATATCCTCTGTTCAAAAGAAAGTGATTATTCATAATGTGGTCTTAATTCTCATCTCTTATCTCTTTATAATGTAGACACATTATGTGCTATTGCTCTGTTCTTTTAAAGAACAGCTGCAACAACATGTTCGTGTACATGCAATGGAAGCAGTAATGGCTTGCTGGGAGATTGAACAGTCCCTACAAAGCTTAACAGGTATGTTTCATGATTTTAAGCTTTTTGGACTAGTTCATTTCTGACAAAAATTGTACTTTCCTTTTCATTGTTTGAAATGCTTTTTCCACAAGACAAATTTTGCTTGCTTCCTTGTTCCTGTTGATGTTGATCACCATACCTTTTTAAACAGTTTGAGACTAGTAGTGTTGTTACCTTCTAAATTGAAGTTTCCGTACCTCTTCATGACTTAATATTTTTCTGCAATCTTTTTTATCACTATTTTTTTGGTGAAAACCCATATTCTATGGTTGGGTACTCCAAAAACCTTTTATTCTTGGTTGAGCACAATGGATTTCTAATCTCGGACAGGTGGTCTGATAAAAAAATTTTGGAGGTTAGGAAAATTTACCCTGCATAGTTTCTTTCTGATTTAAAAACCCTTTCTGTATGTTTCACAGGAAGCACCTGTAATATATTATATTATTGTGTAGTGCAAGTTTATGTCCCTTGAAAATACTGTTAGTTATGAAGAGTTCCTGTATATGTAGACACAATTTTATTGCGTGGAAATGCCCCTTTGTGATCAATTTTTTTAGTTTTTTTGTCAAACCAAATGGAGATTGAATTTGCTCTCAGTTTTATTGAGATGAATGTGAATCATCCTCAAGTGACCATTCACGGGGGAAAAAAAAAATTAAAAATGAAGGAACACTTATTGCTTTCTATATTTTGTGGATAAACCATTGCTTCTAGGGAATTGGGCTTACCATGTTAAACTCTATGCATTGGCTAAATCATAAAATACTAAAGCAAATTCTGCTTTAACATGCTACATGAATAGGTGTTTCTCCTGGAGGAGGCACGGGGGCAACAATGTCTGATGATGATGATGACCAAGTAGACAGCGACACCAACATGTTCGATGGAAGTTTTGATGGACCTGACACCATGGGATTTGGTCCTCTTATCCCAACAGAGAGCGAGAGATCCTTGATGGAACGTGTAAGGCAAGAGCTAAAGCATGAATTGAAACAGGTCTGGGACTAAATATTTGGTTGTGTTATTTTTTGTACATTTTCAGTGTCATCTACTAACATTCTTTTCCTTTTCTTTTTTTCGTTTTTTTTAAATATAGGGTTATAAGGAAAAACTTGTGGACATTAGGGAGGAAATTTTACGAAAGAGAAGGGCTGGAAAACTACCTGGTGATACCACCTCTGTCTTAAAGGCTTGGTGGCAATCACATTCTAAGTGGCCATACCCAACGGTAAGTGTTTGCTTATCACTCCTTTAGACTCTGTTCAGTTTGGTGAATGGGAAAGAACAATGAACTATTTGTTTGAATGAGTTGCTTTAGTGCTATTAGTTTCACATTTGGTTGGGTAGAGCAATTATGGGTTAACAGTAAGGCTTCAATTAAGTTTAGGCAAGCTTGTCCTCATGTGGTCTTGGTAACTTTAAGTCCGTTTGGTAACCTAGGTGAGAAAGAAAAGAATGAAATGATTATAGTTTCTCACCACTGTGTTTGACACGTGTCATCTTGTTTTTATTTTGTATTTAGATGGGCAATTTATTTATTTTGAAAAAAAAAATTATAAAGCAACTTTGGTGTCTCACCAAATCTCTCAAATTTTAGTGCGAAACAAAATATGAGTTTTAAGAAAGGACTTTTTTCATCATTTCTCATTATTTTTCACCTTCTCAATCATTCAAACAAGTAATAGAGTTCAGTCTTTCCATTCTTTCTTTCTTTCACTGAACCCCTCAATCCAAATGGACTGCAGCCACTCAATTCACCTTTTATTGTTTAACTAAATTCATCTTCCTACCAAAAACAAAAACAAAAACAAAAATTCATCTGTTGAAGTGCAGCTTTCGACAAAAATTTCTGATGAGTTTCTTTAAATCACTGTGGTTAATTCATATCTTCTAGGAGGAAGACAAAGCAAGATTGGTACAGGAAACGGGTTTGCAATTGAAGCAGATAAATAATTGGTTTATTAATCAGAGGAAGAGGAACTGGCACAGCAATCCTTCCACTTCCACAGTCCTGAAGAGCAAACGCAAAAGGTACTTGAATTTAAACACGTGTAATTTGATTATTTTACATTCCTCAAAACCTTCGACCGATCTTAATTTGAAACAAAGTAATGCAGGGGACAGTAGCGGTGACCGTTTCTTGTGAGCAAAAAGGACAAATCTGAAAGACAATCCACAAATAATCTTCCTTGGTGCTTTCACTACAGTGATAATCCAGCATCGGTACATATATCTATACAGGGTTCATTCAAGAGAAGAGAACTAATATCATGGATATGGGTAATGACAAAGATACGACTTGTGTGACACGTCACAGCTCTGAGCAGAGGACTTTGCAGATGTTATACTGAACAAGATGCTGCGATATCTCATTAGGAAGTTTAATTTTAAGAATATATGACAACAAATTTGAGTTGGATAGTGCCGTATGTTGGTGGTCATTATTTTTGTTCACACTTTACATATAAATATGGCGGGGGTGTGGGTGTACAGGGTAATAATCTCTTTGATAGTTGGTTACAGTTATTTTGGTTATTATAAATCTTTTGGCAGTGTTGTAGTCTAGTAATTTAGTATTCAACTTGTTGCATATGCTTTCACTCTTTGTGAAGTTTTTGCAAGAAAATGGATACGTGTTTCTCTACAATGGTTGGTTTCTCTTCTGGCTGATTTGAGAAACAAGTTTCCCAGGAATTGGGTACTTTAATTTTTTCTTTCTTTTCTTTTTCTCTACTATGGAAGCGAGTTTCGAGCAACTCCACAACAGCCATTGCTAACTTCTTATTATACCTTTTCCTTATTTTTGAATGTTGGGGTGAAATTTTGTTCCCTCACATAATTGAAAATATGTGGAAGGTGTTCACAAGTATAATGAATCCATTTAAATTTTCATAATTGGAGTTAATCTAAAAGGATTGACCCCCAAGGATATACATACATAGTTTACTTTACTGGCAGGGAAAGGCATGAAATAGTCAACAAAGGGCCAAAAAAGTGTGAAAAATCAACTTCAACTATAAAAGTGTTTGGTATCGTCTTCAAAAATTGTTTTCTTTTCTTGAAACGATAAAAATTGAAAATAATATAATATGGAATGTTTCTGAAAAACTGTTTTCGTGAACATTTTCACTTTATTTGATTTTGAATTTAAAAAAAAAAACAGTTTTTGAGTGTTTAAATATTTGTAGAAAAAATCTATAAAAAAAAAAAATTAACAAATACAAAAAACAAAAACAAAAAAAAACGCTGGATTTATATATATATATATATATATTTTGTATTTGGTGGATTTTTAAAAAGATTTTGTCTCTAATTTTGTACCTTCTAAATATATTTAGATTAAGTGATTTAAAAAGCAAAAATAAAAGTGATTAAAATATTAAAAAATTCACCAACAATTTAAAACTATCGATTGAAAACTCAAAAATTATTTTTGAAGAACTTTAAAAATAAAGGGAAAATTAATCTAAGGTCCCTCTCCCATTTTTAGTAATGAAAGAGATCTACAATATTATTTTATGATGTCTAAGGTCGCTATAGAGAAATTTCATATATCTTACCCCTTCAAACCCTTACCCCCTCTCTCTCTCTCCTCGCTGCTCTTTTCTCTCTCTGTCGTCGATCCAGCTCGCCGGCCACTCTCACTTCGTCGAAAACGTCATCCTCTCTTCCGACAGCCAATTCGCTCTTTCCGGCGACAGTGAATATGATGATGACAATGAAGGAAATAACTTGGATTTTGAAGAAGAAGAAGAGAGTGTTTCTTCAGCTACTGCTTCTTATAGTGTCGATAAGCCCTCAACAACAACACACAAATCTGCCGAGGATCTTTTGAAAGGTTTTCATCGCTTTCTCTTTCTTTCTTTTAATATTTTTTTTTAATGTTTTGGTTGAAATTCAATGGCTTCAAAAAGGTGCAAATCTGGAGCATTATACAATATTTTTGGAAGATTTATTTATGTTGTTTATTAGAAAAGAAAGAAAGAAAGAAAAGTTTCTCTGAAAAATTCCGAGCTTCTGTTATTGATGATAATCTGTTGTTAGAACTTAGAAGTGTGTCTGAGTGTTGGCTATATAATCTTGGAGAGACTGTTTCATGTATACCAATTTTTTATTTTTTTTTTAAATCTTTGTTCCCAATAGAAATGAGAGCATATTAGTAATCTTCCTGTACAAAGTATACTTAAAAAAAAAAAAGAAGGAATATTATATGTTAGTGTGGAGGATTTTATTTGAGAAGCAATGGGGTTGCCTTCATAAAAAATCCAGTATCAAATGCTTTACGCTCAACATATTCAAAAGAGGTGTTTTGTGGTGGATATAGTGATTGGCCATAGACAATTTAAACACTCACTGTTGATCCCTGGCAAAAATTACAGGTAAAAAAACGACCAATAACTTTGTTCTGTTTTGAAATGTACATGTTTCCACTTGTCACCATTTATCACCTAAATTTTACATGGACTTCCATAATCACTGTATTTTGTAATACTCACATTCAATGTATTTTGGGCTTGCTTTTTCTTTCTTTTTTTTTTTTTTTTTTTTTTTTTTTTTTTGAGTTTGTGGTGCACCAAAGCATGTTTCCTTATCCTACAAAAGAAATCAACAACAATTCTAGTCTTTATGCTTCTAGTACATATACAGGAATTTGAAATTTCTCTGCTATTGGGCAAAGATCAATCAACTGGAGTATTGTCTAATTCTTGCAGAGGTTGAACAGCTTTTGGGACCAGAAGAAAGAGATATTTTACAACAGAATGCTACTCCTAACCTGGGTAAAATATCAACAGTAAGTGGTCAAAGTAATGAGCAAACATGTATGTGTGTGTATATAAACTAATGTAGTGTATGATTATATATTTTGATAGGTATATATCTCTGGTTGTTCAAATTTCTCCTCTGGATCAAACCAGAGAATTTCTCTTGACCAACCCAGAGAAAATTCAATTCAAATCAGAGAATTTCTCTGGACCGACCCAGAGAAAATTCAAATCAACTTCGCCGATCGTCTCTTCCTTCAAATCAGTGTCTTTCCTCCACTATCATCACCATTTCTCTACAATTCACAGACCACGCGAGGCATTCATTGACAACGAAATGTGCATCTAAGCTTTCACAGAACAAGTCACAACTTTTGATCGATTGTCTATGAGGAATGTTTCGTTTGAAGATGGGTTGGATCAGCAGAGTGAGCTCTATGGAAGTTACAGCTTGAGTGTTGATGTGAGTGAGTCCGAGAGTTCGAGTAGTTTTTGGTACTGCTTCTACGATGCAGATGGAGCTTCGAGTTCGATGTCATCGTCTCCGTTCAATTTTCGTTTATGTTGTCGGTATGTGATACTAATTTGTCTGGTCAGTACATTTCTTTTTTAATCTATTTTACCGTTCAATTTTCTCTAGATAAATAGAGGGATTTGAATGTTGATCCAGAGAAATTTGATGTTAGTCCAGAGAAATTTGAATATCAGTCCAGAGAAATTTTTGAAAGGTTCAAGCATTTTTTATGTTAGTCTAGAGATCTAGAGAAATTTGAATGTTAGTTCATAGATCTAAAGAAATTTGATGTTAGTCCAGATAAATTTGAATGTTAGCCCAGAGAAATTTGTTAAACGTTCAAGGATTTTTGATGTTAGTCCATAGATCCAAAGAAATTTAAATGTTAGTCCAGAAAAAGTTGTGAAAGGTTTAAGGGTTTTTGATGTTAGTCAGAGATCCAAAGAAATTTGAATGTTAGTCCAGAGAAATTTGAATGTTCAAAGTCTTAAATCCAGAGAAATTCTTTGAAAGTCTAGAATTTCTTTGAATAGAATTTCTCTGGACTGGAATTTCTCTGGATCAATGTCAAGGGACCTTAGAAATTATGAAAATATTAAATGTCTTTTATACTATAAAATTTTAATATCAGGGACCTTAAAAAAAAAACCCCCCAAAACCAAAAAGAGTATTTTTTTTGTAAAATACAAATTTGAGAACATTTTTTTGAATTTTTAGAACTAATTCATAAAAATAAAAATAATGTTGATTTCCCAAACCAATCACAATTAAATATAATTAACCAAGTCATTCAATTAATTTGTTTTTCCTTTTTGTCTCTCTCTTTTTGGTAGTATTGGTTGGTTATGACATACATCATTTTCTTTTAATAAAATCAGTTTTTTTTTTAATTTTTTATAATAAAAAATTAAAAATTAAAACAACATAAAAACAAATATTAAAGACTGGCAATTAAGTTCGATATAACCAAAGCAAAGTCAATGATCATCACCAGCATCATAGAAAAGCAATGAAACATACAAAACACAATATTTTGAGAATAATGAATGAATGAATGAAACATTTACAAACAAGTTTTCTGAACACAATAAATTAAAGACTTGTACAATATAAGAATCATAGAAAACAAAAACAAAACAACCTCTTTTTTTTTTGTTTTTTGGTAAATGCATGACTCAATTACAAAGTGTTGGGGAGTGGAGCTGCAAACCTAGCTGCAAAATGATGATCAACTACTTCTATATGATCATCTCCATTATCAAAATTTAGAGCATAGCTTTGTGGATCATAAAGAAACTGCATTCTTGATCTCTTCTTGTTGTAGCACAGGTTTTGGCCACATTGGAATGTCTTCTAAGAAGTGACGAAGCCATTCCCACTTTGGACCGGCCAAAATTTCCGAAACTTCCCTCAATTTCTTGGCTTTCTTCATAACCCAACTCTCTTTCATCTCCCCTTGTTGCTGCAACAGATTATACCATTGCTGTGAATGGTTGTTTCGGTGCCTTGTAGAGCAAAGTAGCCATAAACATCCACAACCATGTGTTGTGCCATTCTCTTCATTCATATCTTCCATGTCTTCTTCGTTGTCTTCTGAAGGCGGAATTTTGCTAAAAGAAGCTTGTTTATCAAGCATGGCGAGAGAGAGAAAAAAAGAAAAACAGAGAAAGAGAGTTTGCTTTGTTATAAAGAATTTCAATTCAATTCAATAAGAACACAAAAAAAGAGAGAACTATATATAACTATAATTTGAGAATTGGGATAGGATTAGGCCTCCGTTTAGGAAGGGAGTTGATTTTTTAGTTTTTTTAACGTGAGTTAAAAAATTTGGTTTGAAAATAATTTTTTTGATTTTTTAACTTTTTTATAAAAAAAAAATATAATAGTTATGAATTAAATTTGATATTTTATTTATTATAATTAAAATAACTTATTTTATTTTTTTATAACTACATTAATCACAAACTAACTTGCCAAAGAACACCTGGGTATAGTTTACATGGTGGGTGATGGCACCCAGGATCCTCTGGAGTGATTTTTCCCTAAAGTTTCTTAAAGTGGTACATTGTGTGGTTGAAATTTACTGATCAATTTTTCTGATGTGACTTGCCAGTAAATCTCAACCACATAATGTAGCACTTTAGGAAATTTTAGAAAAATTTTACTCTAGAGGATCCTTGCTCGGGTGATGGACACACCAATACAGAAAGATAACTCAACCTTTAATTATCTTACTGACACGTGTGTGAAAAATGAAGATTATTAAGTGGTTCAGAATCACTATTTTGATCCCGATCAATTATGAGTAGTCACGTCAGTAAAAAATATCCTTGTTAAGGGATGAGATGTTTAATCTATAAATACATGGTA